AGTTTGTCGACCATTTTCGATCATAAAAATTCGAGATTCTTCCTTACTTTCGGATTGAGAATATTCGAGAGGTTTCGATAAGAACACACATCAAGCGACGTCGAATGACAAACAAAACACACTCGTACGCAACAAAAGAGTCATATTTAGTTTCATAATAATCTTTTCTCACACAAATAAACACCATTAACTCTCTCATTTGACAAAATAAAATCAATATTTAAACAAATTTATCATATGTTTTAAAAGTTCATTTTATTAATTGTAATAATATTTAAAACCGTTTGATTCTTTCTATTATAGTTTTTTAATTGATTGATGTTTAATGCTATCAACAAATTTAATTATTGTTTTATTGTGTTAATTTTATCCTTTAGATGTCGAAAAATAAATAAATAACATTATGTTAATTTAAGCGTACACAAACGTTGCTGTTGTTCCAGCAAAAATCTTATTATCGCTTTAACCTAGAAGGTAACCTATCATTACCTARTAGGTACTGTGCAGATTATGTATATAATTAGTAAATTACCTAGATAATTTGAGAAATTAAATAATTTTCGATACTCTAACGGATCACCTTAGTTAATCTGCACATACCAAAATAATTTGCAAAATAATTAATTTCTGCTCTTTAGCAGTAACATATACATTTTAAAAGACACTTGACTTTCTTTATAGTCGAAACTTATTAGCATTAAAGCTGGTTCCTTGTATCATAGTAGCAAATAGCAGGAGTCAAATTTATCATGGTAATATACGTCTATCCTTACATTTACGCGGCCCATTTTGTATACGAATTTCTTTTTACTCGAAAAATTATATCTCTTGTAACGTTCCAGATCGTTTTCTATTTTTATCTGCTACGCTCGAAGGCTTCGTCGTCGATGGCAATTGTCAGCTGTTTGTTAGTTTCCTAAGCCAATGAGCCTCGAGRGCGTCAGTATCACTATCCAATGAGAAACAAAGTTCACATATTCTGGAAACTGATTCATCGTGGAAAGGATGTAACTAGTCAAGGAAGTGGGGGCTTAAATAGGTTTATGAGAAGATCAGAAAGCGAAACGAGTCACTTTCGTTTGTTCTGTTGAATCTTACGTTTGTTTATTTCGTTAATAAGTCTGTATCTGCCTTAGGTTAAATCAGTGAATTTTTTCTTAAATTTGATCATTAACGAAAAATAATGAATTTCAAAATAATCGAATTTAAAAGAATATATTTAAGTAAAATTAGTTATTTTTTCCAATAGCTAGAGTTATATTATTTGTATTTGCCAAAAATTCCTCCAACATGGAGTCCTCCGGCGATTGGATTCAGCTAATTGTGAGGAAGGTGAMAGGGTAATTAGAACAAAATAAAACACGTGGTTGAGCCAATAAAAATGCTAATGCTTTATTGGCTCGTCAGGGAAAAGCCTTACGGCATAAAAACCCTGTTTGCTGCTATACTACACGTTAAAATGATGATCAACCACGGACAAGCCCGTGGTTGACTTCTCTTCTCTCTACCAGCGGTCACTTACGGGCAAAGCACGTGTTACCGCTCCTCTCGTTTATCCGTGATGATCAACCATGGACAAGTCCGTGGTTGACTTCTCTCCTCTCTACCAGCGGTCACCTACGGGCAGAGCCCGTGGTACCGCTCCTCTCGTTTATCCGTTCAAAATGATTGGTACCAATAAAAAACTTTCTTACCGTTTCGTATCGCCTCTCCCTTTCTTTACCGTTAATTACCGCCTCTGCGGTCCGTCACCTTTCTATCGTCGACCCTGGGATGTGATCGCACTACCCTTGGGATGTTGAATCGTCTACTATATTCGTTGGAAAATGAAGTGTTCTCTTAAGCGTCTGGCGAAAGAATAGAACGAATGTCCTCGATAATGGGCCCAGCAGGGCATACGCACTAGTCGCCGCGTGGTGGGGATACGACCGTTAATATTGGACTAAAAAGRCGCGTTTTACAAAATGTTACTTTCTCGCTCACGATCGATTCCGATCGTACATTATTACTGTTGATCGAAGCTGTGCCAGAGAGCCTTATTCCACGAGCTACTACAGAAAATGGTAAGAATATTACTTGAATTCTTAACACATTACGTACGGCGCTCTGTTCTTTCGGGACTCGTATATTTTTGGGAGCTATTTTATGTTTATTAACATCACTCAATTCAAGAATGTCACTATTTTTACTAAGTTCATTTTGTCTATAGTATTATTTAGTGCATCTAATATATTATCAATCAACAGTTCACTTTGACTTTCATTTTCTTTAATTCTATGCTTGGCGTTTTGCTACTATTTTGGAATTACAGGGTTAACTTTATATATTAATAATTTTTATTATAAATAATCATTAAAAAAACTGAAACTATAATTAATTTTTAATAAACTATTTTCCTTATAAGTTAAAACGCGATTTTTGAAATAAAAAAATGTTGTCTTGCTTTATAAGTTACAATACAGAGCTACCGATTTAATGGCTATCATAACCAACTGATTTATACGCTCTAGGAATATCGATAATAATTTTTATTCTATTTATTATATTATTATTTTAATTTTATTAGGAGAATATACGAGTCTTAATTACCTTGGTAACGTTACAAGAAAATTTATTTTTAATTCCATAAATCACCGAATTAGTCGAAGAAACCTGAAAAAGAGATATACGCGATATGGTACCATTGTGGTAGAATTCCAACCAATTTCCTTGTTTAACTATTTTCTTATCCCGCTATTGTCTGTCGATTATCATTTATTGTCTATTTTTATTTTTTTTCAGCGTCATTTTTCTTAACCTTTCCTTTCTTTGAAATCCCTACTTTGCTTCATCGCAGAGGACAATCGATCGTTTATGTCTCGCTTTGTTCTTGGAAACGCTTTTATTTTTTTGCTTTTTTTTTCGTTTTTCTTTAATATTTTTTGTTCAAATGAAGAATACTCTATAAAATTAAGGTATTGCAGAATCTCACCTATTGGGAACCGAAAGGTCATAATAAAGATTTAGAGAAATATAAAATTTATTAACTAAAAAGTCTCATTTATCGAGAGCCGAAAGGTAAAATTTAAGCCCAGAGAGTTTTTGTCTTCTCTACGGCATTCGACGAAATACGTTGAATATCTCGTCAATTTTAAATTCATTTATAAGAAATAGTTCGTTGTATATTTACTTTAGGCAGTCAAGGAGAGTGAACTAAGAGTTTTTCATAATTTCTGGTACTGTGCTTTCGCTACGCATTACTTGTAAACGTACGACGCAAATTAAACAGGCAACGATCTAAGGGGAAAAGAAATGTTAGCTAACGAAATCTAGAAGAGTCTTACGCTTCTGTTTTCGCCAACGAATATTCCATTTGAAGAATAGAAAAAATTTAGCTGAAATACTATTTCTTCGTTTTGGTAAATAGGCAAAAACGTCGAGAAAAAACTAAAAGAAAGTTAGAATAATATTAATTAATCTGGTTTAAATCGGAATGAGCTAAATAAGGAAACAGAAAAACTGTCTTCGCAGTTAGAGGAGATAATATTTTCGTAATATTGTAAGAAAAGAAGCCATTATTAAACTTGTGTATTAACCTTGTAAAATTCCAACAACCAATGGCGTAATAACTCTGTTTAAAATTTACTGGTAGTTTAAAATTCACTTTGTCAAATGTAAATATTAAAGTCCTTTGCAAGGTACATTTTAAATTTACCATAATCAGTTGTTTTACTCGTCTAAAAATAAAATTCCTAATAAGAAGGTATCAAAGTGAATTTGGACATCAAAAAAAGAAGTAGAACTTAATTTTACTAAGTTGGACGTTTCGTCCCTTTATTGGGACTTCTTCAGCAACTGGAAATTTTATTTTATTGTTATTTTTTCAAATTACGAAATACATGAGACTTATACAATATAAAATATTACAAAGTCAAATCTTAAGGATATTTTTTTTTTGGACAGGTCTTAATTAGATGAACAATCTATTAATCAGTTGAACGTTTCGTCCCTATATTTGGGACTTCCTCTGCAACTAAAATTTATTATGACATATTACTACTTATATAAATACAAAAAACTTACAATTAATTGAATAGCGTTATTTTACCTCGATCGTTATTGTTCACGAGTCAATTTATCATCATTTCTAATTACAGTCATAAGTTTACACTATTTTATACATACAGTCTATTACGAACCGTTACCCTACCACAACTTTTCGAACACTACCGGTTACCTCTAAGCTGGTGTTTTCTAATCTAGATATCTTTATTATTATTATAACCTCTGTTACGTGTCTTGTTGTGGTAATTAAATTTTAAAATTTCATTATATGTGCTGTTTAGATTATTCGTATCAGTTCTGAAATTAACTGTATTATTATTCTTTATATGGTACATTTCACTAATGTTTCTTTTATACCAATTGTCTTCTAAATCTAAAATCGTTGCTGCGTCAAGTTTATAATTATGTCCTGTTTTAAAATGATGCTCTGCTAACGCGGTGGTATTAGTTTTCTTAACATTAGTAGGTTTACAGTCATTTCTATGCTGATCTAATCTTTTTTTAAGTTTTTGTTTTGTCTGTCCTATATAACACTTATCACATTCACATGGTATTTTGTACACTAAGTTCGACTTGTCAAATTTATCCACCTTATCTTTTAATTTAGTGTAAATAGAATTTATTTTTGTTAGATTATAAAAAACCAGTTTAATATTAGTGTTTTTAAAACATTTATTTATTTTGTTTGCTAAAGGCTTAATATACGGGACCTTAATGTATGTTTTATCTTGTAGATTCGGATTCTTTACACGACTTTTGTCAATTTTAAACTCATTAAATACCATGTGTATGAGACTCATGGGAAAGTTATTATTTTTTAGAAGAGTCTTTATTTTTCTCCTGTTTTCTGTATGAAACTTTTTACTACTTAATGTTAAAGCTCTAAATAGTAAACCTTTTATAGTTCCAATTTTTTGACCTAAAGGATGGTTCGAATTGTAATTAATACATCTTCCTGAGCTTGTTGGTTTTACATACTAATTCGTTAATATGGTTCCGTCTTCATTTCTTATGACTGTTACATCTAAGAATGGTAATGTTYCGTTGTCTTCTACTTSAATAGTAAACTGGATTTTTTCATTTATCATATTGAAGGTTTTTAATACTACTTCAATTCCATCTTTAGGTATTGCAGTAATGATATCATCTACATATACTTTTAAGAATGGAACTGTAAAAGGTAAATTGCCATCAATTTTTTTTAACACGTGATGCATTACCAAGTTCGCTAATATTGGGCTTGCTGGATTGCCCATACTAGAACCATCAAGTTGTTGGTAAAAAGATCCGTCGAATTGGAAGTAGCTTGATTCAAAACAAAATTGTATTATTTCCAATAAGATGTTTTTTGGTATCATTATGAAGTTTTTGAGTTCATTCCAATCGTCTTTTATCGTTTTTATTACCAGTTTTTTCGGGATGTTCATGAACAATGAGATTGCATCTAACGATACTAATCTGTAATCTTCTGGTAGTGTTATTTTTTGTATGTATTCTACAAACTCAAAAGAATTCTTAACCGAAAACACAAATTTGTTTGTCATAGCTGAGGATAATTWATGATGTAAAAATTGGGCCAATTTATAGCACGGTGAACGAATGCAGCTTACAACTGGTCTTAGGGTTAGGTCTTGTTTGTGTGTTTTCCTTAGTCCATATATTTTTGGGGCGACCGAATTGTAAGATTTCATGTTTTTTTCTATCTCCTCCGTGATAATCGATTCTTTTCTTAGTTTCATTATCAAATTATTTGCTAATTTCTC